CTTTGGCATCACATTAATCGACGTTCCTAAATCTAGCATCGCATCTCTAATCTTTGCATTCCCTATTCCACATGAGATAGAGAACATACCTGGATCCCTACATTTTGATGATAGTTTCCTTTGCAGTACTGCCGACACATTCTCCCCTACCAAAATTCTTTCGTTTCCTCTCAACTTCCTTTTATTTACGCACAAGTCCTTTAAGAACTTTGCGTACTTAGGTACCTGCTTGATGGCATCCAATAGGGAGATGTTTATTTGCACTTTGCGAAACACCTCTAGGATCTCTTTCTCCTTGTCTTGTTTCTTCGGCTTCTCCAACCTACTAGGAAAGGGTGGTGAATTAGTCTTAACTTTAGCTATAGAGTCAGAGATTACCTCAGGAGTTGTCTTTTCCATTCATTCTTCTTCCAACTCTTTCTCAATTTGATCCTCATTTTTATCCTTAGGAATCACGGGTTTGGGGCTTTCGATTTCTTTCCCACTTCTAAGAATCATAGCACTCACGTTTCTCGGGTTCACCTTAGGTTGCGAAGGTAATCTTCCATCTACCTTGGCTGCTAAACTATTGACTGTAGCTGCTAATTGATTCATTTGTGTTTCCAGACTCTGTATGCTAGAGCCTGTCTTCTGTTGAAACTGCGCGGTGCTAGAAGCCAAATTTTGAACTATGTCCTCAAGGGATGCACCTGATGAACTAAAGGAGAAAGGTTTAGGCTTTGGTTGGTACAATTGCTGGAATCCTGGAGGGTGATTTGGGAAAGAGTTTTATTGCCTGTTCCCATAGCTGAAATTTAGGTGATCTCTCCACCCCGGATTGTAGGTGTTCGAGTAAGGGTCATACTGCCTACGAGGCATGGGCACGCCACCAGCCATATTCACATGTTCAGTTCCTTCCTCTTGCAGCATTAAACATAAGTCAGCGGAGTGACCTATGTTTGTGCAAATCCCACACACACTAGCTTGTTGCGAATTCCCTATAGTTAGTTGTCGAACAAAAGATGTTAGATCAGCTAGCTGTTGTTGAATAGATGACACTTCGACCTCATTTATCCTATGGATGTGGGTGTTTTCGCGGGAGCCAAATTGTTGCGAATTCTCCGCCATTTTCTCGATTAGCTCTCATGCCTCTCTAGGGGTCTTGTTCGCTAATGTCCCACCACTTGCAGCATCAATGATGTTTCGATCAGACCATTGAAACCCTTCATAAAAATATTGGATCAATAATTATTTACTAATTTGATGCTGTGGACATCTAATGCACAATTTATTGAACTTCTCCCAATACTCACACAGGGAGTCCCTAGGATTTTGCTTGATACTGTATATTTTCTTTCTTAGACTGGTAGCCCGGAAAGCAGGAAAGAATTTTTCTAGAATTTCTTCTTCAACTGCACCCATGTTGTGATACTACCTGTTGGTAAGTAGTATAGCCAGTTTTTGGCTGCGTCCTTAAGAGAAAATGGAAATGCTCTAAGTTTTATTTGCTCCTCAATAACTCCGGGAGGTTTCATACTTGAGCAGACCACATTAAATTAGGGGTGGGCAAAAAATCCGAAAAATCTGAAAACCGATCGACCCGCTCCGACCCATTCCGAAAATTAGGATATCCGACCTGATTTTTATCACTGGATCAGATAGGGTCGGATACCCATAATATTCGGATATGGATACGGATCATAAAACTAAAAACCCGCGAGTACCCGACCCGGGGGTATATTATACAAATATTAAAAAATATAGGAGTAAATTTATAATATTTTAAAGTTATTAACCCTAACATATCAGTCATTCAATTGGAAGCGTAGAGTCTTCACTTCAACGCCGCCGACACTCCTTCAGACTTTAGTCCTTCTAGTTCTGGGCTTCTGGCCGCAACGCGGCAACAGGCAACGGGCAGTTCCTTGCCTTCACTATTTCTTCTTCTATTCAATTTTGCCCAGCCCTTTGAACTCAAAAGAAAGCTGCCCATTTCTTCTTCTCATTCAATTGTTTCCTAAACACCATATGGCTGCTGTCCAAGCAGTTGGAGTCCCCATATGCTGCAATTCGGCCCCCACCAATCTCCAAAAGACCAAGAATTGGAGAATCTGCCTGCAATAACCACAAACTATAACTAAGTGCATAGCATAAGGTCCTGAAGTGAAACAAATTGGCTTGCATATCACGTCTCAAAATGGTCAAACTCCACACATTCACTTTACTGCTCAATCATTCTGTTTCTACTCAATTCCTTTTATTGCTTTTGTTGTGCTTTTCTTACTCTGTTTGGTTGCTGATGCAAAAGAATGTTGAATACACTTGATGTCCAAATGAGTTTTTTTTTGGGTAGGGGCGGGTATAGGCCCCTATACCCGCCCCTATTTTTCGGGTATCCGAGGTTAATCGGAGCGGATTAGGGTCAAAAATTAGTGACCCAACCAATTGCCGTTTGGGGCGGGTACCCAACCCGTGTCCACCCCTACATTAAATTCTTAGAGGTATTTGTGGGGTTTCTCACCTAAAAGGCCATGAAAAGAGGGGAAGAAGTGGATCAAACTGGATTTTAGCTCAAAAGAAGTATTTTAATTTAGATTTGAAAAAGTAATGCATAAGGATTGTTGGGTTAAATCAGGGGCAGCCAACTCCCTTAGTGTCCTGTTATTTGCCATTATATATTTCTCTTGCTCCGAATCGCTTGAGTGATCAGTTGATAACTCAATTACCACATTAAAATCGAGGGATGCTACAAAGAAACGTCCTTCCTTGCGTTTCCTGGTCTCCTATCTCAGCCTGCGTGCCATCTTCTCAACCTCAGGGTCGTATATCAATTCACATGTGTGGGAAGAACGAGGCATAAACTAGCAAAAATACCAAAAATGAGGTAAAGAAATAAATACGTGAAAGTAAAACGAAATAAAGTGAACTTAGAAAAAGAACCAAATAATTTAGGCACCAGTCTTCGGCAACGGCGCCAAAAAATGATAGGTGTCAAGTCTGTACAATAATAAAGACCTACTCAACGAAAATATGAATTTGCATATAGCGGTAAGTAGGGTCAATTCCACAGGGACTGGGAAAAATTTGCTCTTTTTCAAGTTAAAACAGAATGGGGGGATTTCCAAGATTTAACGGCTAGTAAAATATCCCAAAGATGATAAAACGTGCAAACGAGATTGAGAAAGACAATTAATGGGAAAAAACTCTAGCCAAGATTACACTTCGAAAATGGTTCAAGTAACTGATCATTGATGCAATTATAATTCCAACATTCATTAATAAGCAGGTTTTAAACTGCCGATACGATCTGACAGTCAGTTTCTCCTTACTGTTTCGATAGTTAAAGTACGACCATTGACTACTTTTCTAATTTAGAAATAACCCTAGGTACGACCATAGGATTTAATTCCCCAATTGCATTAGAAACTCGAGAAACCCTACTCTAATCAATAAATACGCTACGAGGGTTTATTTAAATTAGATTGCATGTTTCCCCGACACAAACTCAATTATGTCAGTTGCTACCAGGATTAGAACAGTTAAACAATTACAGATTCAACTATTTCAATTAGCAAATAGATTACGTGTATAATTAAATATTGTGCATCTATTCAATCATACACAATAATCATACTCTATAAAGCAGAAAACATACAAATATCAAAGAATAGAGGAAATAAATAAAATCAATTAGATCTCACAGTGATCGTTGAACCAAATCCTCGGTGTTCCTTGACTAGAAATATGAAATTAGCTCTCCATTAATGGAGAACAAGCCATGCCAGAAAAATCTGTTTGAAGTTTTTCAATTGTCTTCTTTAAAAATCGGTCAAAAGGAAAAGTAAAGACGAGCAATTGTGCTTTTTCCGTCTCTCGCAAAAAATGAAAGTTGTCTCCCCCGAATTCTACTTGACTGACTTCTTAATTGATTGGTTTCCTAATACCAATCAAATTCCTCAAAAAGTCCTATTATAATTTAGTTTTCTAAAAGCTTCCGAATTGTTCAAGACTTACGTGGGGTGCATGGAAAATAGGAAACTTCAGCAGCTGTCAAGCTTTGGAATTTGAGTTGGATTGGAAACTGTCCGACGTTAGGAAACTACCAATTTCTGATTTTGCACCTTGAACTTCGATGCCCCACATGCAAATCGTTAGGAATCCTCCATTTAAGCCTTTTTCGCTCCAATTTCTGAAATTAATACAAAAATACCAATTATGGGTAAAATCAGTCAAATAGGGTAATATCTAGGGTAAATAAAAAAGAAAATATAAACAAATATACCAACTAAATGTACCCTATCAGTCATGTTGTTATAAAGATTTATAACTATTAATTTAGATTTATCACTGATAGACGTGAAAAAAATATTAGATACATAATATGCACTACCTGACATTTACAAGAATTAGTAAACTATCGTTAAATAATGATAGTGGACTATATCTTGTCTAGTGGGTAGTAGATAAAGTATTATTTGATGATTAATGATTACTACTAATTTATAGCATGATGCACATGGAACCTGGAATATGGTTCTCCTGTAGATATAGATATTGCAGATATTTTGCCTATGTTAGGTGCCTAAATCGCTGCAACAATGATCAGCACCTATGGTAAGATATACTTGCCTGCTTTCTTAAGCTATTGACTTCAACATTAGACTCGTGTCTTGCTCGACTTAACTCAGAAATTTGTGCAACAGAAGAATTGCATAAGCAACTACATAAAGAGAGAAAAATTCTTTTAAAATTGAAAAAAGAAAAAGAATCTACCCTTTACAGTACATGATTAATACTATAAATTAGAAAAAGGATCAATTAAACAGAATATTCTGCGACTAACAGAATCTATTGCACAAATAACATAATTTCAAAGAAAGAAAAAGAGGATGAGAGTGGACCAGGCTAGTTACTTGCTAGAGCAATCAAGGAATATGTTCCTTTTTGACGAAAAAAAAAAATCAAGGAATATGTTCTTCACCGCTGGTTTCATTTCATTTTGTATGCAGTCATAAGTTCAACTGGTTACCTTGAACTCTCAGTTACACATTCAGTCACAAGACATTATAGGATAAAGCAGAAGAAGAATGGAGCTGCAACATTTTGGCCATGAGCATCCACTGGAATTCAAGTCTGAGGGTATGTTTGAAGAAGAAGAAAAGGAAAAGTTGCCCAGTTATAATTGTTATATGTGTCGGAAATCCATTTCATTGCCGGCCTACTTCTGTAGACATTGTGATTGCACCTGTCTCCACGAGACATGTGCAAAGTTGGCTGATCAGGAGATTCTACATCCAATGCACTCAGCTCATCCTCTTAAATTCACCACTTTGGCTCAATCCCTGCGCCGGTGTGATGCTTGCTGGCAAGATTTCTCTGGTTTCAGTTACAGTTGTCCAAAATGTAATCTGTACATATGCATAGAATGTGCCCTGAAAGTTTCAAATCGACGGATCATCAAACACGATGTTCACCAACATCCCCTGACACTAGTAAAAATGGAAAAGTCAAGCAAGTGCTGTGCTTGTGACAGCCTGATGTTTGTTCCAAATAGTGACATTAATACCCCGTCTTACATGTGTACTACCTGCTCATTTTGGATACATGAAGAATGTGCTTCATTACCGACAATCAAAGGACTTGAGGATCATGATCATGATCACCCCCTCACCTTGGCTTACCAACTTCCACTTGAATTTCGACGCTATAATTTTGAATGTGAGTTTTGCAGAGAAGTATTGAAGCCATCTATGTGGGTTTATTATTGTGGTCGTTGTAGATACTTTGTCCATGTCTACTGCCTAAGCATCCATGTCAGGTTTGTCTTTACTGCATTAATGTAATTTACTTTGAATGACATTTGTTTCATGATATTCATTTGGACTTTTTTCTGCATTAATTGATTTTTTGTTAAGATTTGGGAGTCGCATAGATTATTATCATTATGATGCTGAAGCTGGTCCTAATGATCTGAGGCTGCCCTGCAATGATGTGTTCGATGAAATGATCAAACCTGTGATGGAGAAAAGGATGAAAGAAGAGTTAAAATTGTTGCCGGAGATTAAACATTTCAGTCACAGCCATCCGCTAATCCTTTCTTCAACTCTGCCGGTGGAGAATGAAAAGGATACTGAGGAAATGTTATGCGATGGATGCATCCAACCAATTTCAACTCCGTACTACACTTGTGCCGAGTGTAAGTACATGCTGCACTTAACCTGTGCCAATTTTTCACCTGAAAGATTGTGTCATGTTTGCGATTATGGTCACTTTTCAACCCTGAAAAAGTTTAGAAATGAGTTGGGGTACTTTTATTGCTCGTGGTGTGATACTAAAGGTAATGGCTTTTTCTTCGACTGTGAAGAATGCCGTATCAAAGTCCATTTCAACTGTCTTATCTTTTCGTTTGGAGAGCAAATGGTTTACAAACTTCATAAACAACACATTTTATGGCATGCAAGAAGTTACAGGCAAAGCCCATCAATGCACTGTCATGCCTGTAGAGAAGAGATAACAAGCTCGAATCCTTACTATAGATGTCGTTGCGGTTTCTTTTTGCATCAATGGTGTGCTACTTTACCAGGCGCAGTCAAGCATAGATGGGATAAACACCCTATTCTTTTGATGCATCCACCGTTCAGTGATCATCCAGATGAACTTTACTGTGAGGTTTGCGAAGATGAGATACACCCCAAAACTTGGATATATCATTGTCGCGAATGTGATCAATCTTTTCATCCTAGATGCATTCCTCGACTTGGTAAGGATGGTAATGTGAAGTTTGGTAGCACCATTCAAGTCGCCAATCATGAGCATCCCCTTAGGTCTGTCCGAAAAAGTAGATACAAATCTTCCTGCAATGGTTGTGGTACAAAATTTAATGGTGGGAAGGCATGGGAATGCGAAGTCTGTAGGTTTTCCTTTTCCTTGTGCTTTGCTTGTGTCTGCCATGCAATTGACCCTAGTTATGTACTCCCTGTGCCCCATGATTAAATATATATTGCATGGGGATTATATTGTAAGTTCACTCAAAGTCTCATCATTGAAACATTATAAGCTATGAGTGAGTAATTATTCCAAACATGAAACTCATTATATTGCAAATTGAAGTTGTCCAATATGACATTAAATATCTTTTAGTTGTGTGGCAAAGATTCATCCACATTGATTATAGGATCTTGAACTTCAATCAAAGAAGGATACAACATAATTTAACAGGTCTAATTCATCGTTAGATGATATACAATCACTGGATCAAAGTATGGAAGTAACCTTTTCCTAACAATCTCTCTCTCTCTCTCTCTCTCTCTATATATATATATATATATATATATTGTCTTTTTGCTTTTTATTGAAGGATCAGACACTGTGCCAGGATGTTATATTCTGCAAGAAAGAAGTAATCAGTACGGTCTTTCATTCCTAGTCCTTCTGAAAGAGGAATTGAGAGCTCTTATTGTTTATTAGTTGAAAGCTTATTGTCAACAAGTTTTAAGCATTAATCATTATTCTTAGCAATCATGCACGTTGTATAGAACTACTTAAGAACGGCAGAAGAACGCACACTAGACTGCAGGTTGTCCACAAAATTCCCCAAACAGCACTTGGCTGTTTCTGTACTCGCAGAGGAACATTGCCAGCTACATTTTTGCATATTATATCTGACATTTGGAATACATTCATAAGTATAGCAAAAATGCCTGAATCTTTCCATGTACTCCATAGTATCAGGATTGAGAAAATGACACTACCAGAAAAACAAAATAATGACATTAACCTTGAAATACTAAAGTAGCACATCTTCAGAATTTCTCGTCCCCTGAAACAAGTTGTGGTTAATCACTGTATATGACATTAGTTTCTTATATTACAAAATATAGGGCTTTTTTATTCAAATATTGCCTTTTTTTATCAGAAATATAGACAAATCAATTAATAAAATTCCAAAAAAGAAATTACATTGTCCACAGACTTTCTTCTCCCCTTCTTATTCCTGTAAGAAATTACATGCAAAAGAAACAATATAGATACAAGATTACGAGAAAGAGGGCCATAGTACTAAAGAACAAGGGTTTTACAGGTCACAAAATCAGAAACTAATCTTCTCGAAAGATGATGGAATGTCAGAGTCACAAACTCTAACCACTGTGCTCATTGTTTGTGCCCCTCCTACAATAACAAATGAGTTCTCAAACTTGACGCAAATTAACTGTGAGGCAGTCATCGCCTCAAAATTTCTGCCTGAAGGCTACCAGAACAGCCAAAATATTCAGCAAATAGAACAAACTGAGAAAGGAAGGAAGATGGAGAAGATTGTCGTTTGTTGAAGAAGGGAGAGAGACAGAGAAGATTGACATTCGTTAAAGAAAGAGGTGCCAGGATGAATTTTGGTGCAGAGAAGAAAATGAAAACATTTTGGTCTTAGATAGAGCATCTAAAGGATCAGAACTTTCTTTTTGAGGCATTGATTCAGTAAAGGCTTAACTGTATGTACACAAAGATTTAGGCATGTCTCCAACCAAAGCATGGATGTAAGTTCAACCATATGGGGTAAGATTACAGAGTTCTACAAGCCAAAATATAGACTATAATTGTCACATCTTCACTTAATTTTCAAAATTTATTTTACTTCATGATAAGGACAATTGTGGAAGCAAAATTGACGCACTTGTGAGAAGCAAGATGTTATATACTTGACTTGAATAATAATGTAGCATGTGATCATTGAAAGCATCAAATTCAGAAGGAAATTTATAAAGAAAAATGATCCACAATAACTAGAACATCAGACTACCAGAATATGCAAAATGACAGGGTACCGTTCAAATTCAATTGCATGCTTCAGAATCTATAATGATAGGCAACAAAAAATCTTCAAGAACTGTCCATGATGCCACCGACCTGTGAGAAACAGTGCTAGGATTAAGTTAATGACATCTAAAACTGAGATAGAAACTCCATATAAACACAGATTCAGTCCTTTGCAGCATTTATGTCAGCTTCACTAAGTATAATCTCATTGAGGAGCCAGAGGTATGGCAGCAGGATCAAGTTCAAAAGATCCTTCTGGGACACCTTCTCCTTCAGTGCCATGCATCGTATAAGAGGGGACTCGATGTGAGAATCTTAGTAGTTGATTTGGCGGTATTAGAACTGGCTTACCTTGGATTTTCCTCTGATATAGGCTCAGAAAACCTCCAACTTTATCCAAGAAAGCAACCTCGACAGCAGTACTCTCAACATATTCTTTGACAACCTCCACAAATTGATATTCATACCTCATCCTAGGGTGATTTTCTGGATTTGATCTCCACCTTATATCCCAGTCCTTAAATAGGGCCCAAATCTCCCCATTTCTAGGATATATTGTATATGTTAGTCTATCCATATTCTTATCATAATTTACTTGATGAGAGAATATACGAAAAGTAGTGATGTGTTCAGAATTATCGCGTGCAAACTTGCCACAGGCCACAGGGAAGTCCCTGTTTACCCAGTCAATCCCACCTTGATATCCTGGATGAGGATATAGCCAATTTATGCACAATTTAAATGGGCGAACATGTACCTTCATGATTTGGGCGTAGAATCTTGGCATGGGATCATGAGTATCATCATAACAAGCCCAAATTTGACCTGGGGAGAAACAATTCTCTTCTCTGTACTTGTCAAAATCATTAAATTCTCCTGGAGGATACATAATTCCTATTACTGAATGACCAGCAGAACCTGATCCTGACACATCAATAACATCACAATTTTGCAAGCTTTCTTCGGTAGGAGCATTTCCCTTAAATTCAGGAATATCATTAATATCACAATCTTGCAAGCTTTGTTCAATAGGAGAATTTCCCTCTCCTATTCTTAACTTTCCATTATCCACACCTGCAGAAAAACCAGTTGAATTGCCACATGCTGAACATTGAAGCAACGTTGCTTCGCTCTGTTCATCATGATTATTGCTCACCCGCAACCTCTTTGAAGAGCTTGGGATGTCATCAGCACCACTTTCTCTTCCTTGCTCAGAGATTGGTAGCAATTGTGCAAATGGCGTGCAATGGAAATGGTGATCAATGTCTGCCAAAACTTCCTCAGCTGCTATGACCTCATTTCCTGTTTCACTGCTCCCTCTTTTCCTGCTCTGGTTTATTGATTCACTGGATTCTCTATGCCATGAATGATCAATCCTCAGAACATCATAATCTCCTTTGCCAAGATGCAGTAGATTTACACTTCCATCTTTATCATCAAACCTCGCATCCCCAAGAACATCACCATTCCTTTCAGTCGCTGTGCATGACTTGAGCATTTTAATGTTACCATTCTCCTCATACCCCATTGCACTTGAAAAAGCAACGTAATACTTTGAGCAGTTCTGGCAGAAGAAATCTTTTTTTAGGCCACGTTTGAAGAGCACTTTCCTTACATCACAAAAAAAGCAGCTAGACTCCCAGATTGTTGTCGAATCAACTGATGAATCTAGCAGTTTTTTACTCTTGTGATCAGTAACATTTTGCATATTATGAGATGCTATATGCCCTGCAGCATCTGTCAATTGCTTTCCCCGTTCTGTGCATGCTAAACTTTCTTCCTCATTCAGGTGAAGACCATGCTTTGCTTCAGAACCAGAATATTGCAAGTGCTTATTGGAGATTTTAGCAGAATCAAATTGTTTCCCTTTAAGTTCAATTTCCTTCATCTTTAGATACAAAATCTTTTCCCTTGATTCAATCTCCTTTTCACGTTGCATCAACTTTTGCTCTTTCAAATCAAGTTCATTAGCTCTTTGCTCTATGTGATACTCCTTTAACCCAATTTCGTTAAACCTGTCTCCAACTGAACTCTTAATACTCTCAAATTCCTTTTGCTCCAGCTCAATCTTATCAAAAAGCCCTTGTATCAATTTCTCTTGTTCATTCAATTTTAACTCTCTCACCTCAATTTCCTCACGAATCATACCTAATGTCTCCTCCTGCAATTTTAATTCATTACTCCCTTTTTCTTGAAATAAACAAAATTCCTTCTCTTTTTCAACTAATTCGTCAAACTTTTGTTCAAGAGATTTCCTTGTCATATCCATTTCTTTTGAACTTTCACTCACTGATTCTTGAACTGAGCTTAAATGGGTCTCTCTGGACTGAAGTTCAGCTAAGCATTCCCGGAAAAGCAAGCCAGTTAAATCCAAGTGGCTCTCAAAATCTTCCCATTCAAGCATTAACAACAGAATAAAATTTTTAAGCCGGTCCTTTTTGGCTTCATTGGTAGCCAGAGCTTCAGATATCTTCTTCAAAACTCTCATTTTGTCCAAACTCTTATCTAATGTTATCATTTTTCTACCTGGACAGAAAGCAGGGTCCTAATCAGTTATAGTTAATCAAAAAAGAGAAGCCATACATGCATCCCGAAAATAGTCAGAGTACAAAAATAAGCAACTAGAGTTGCTAGAATCTACTAACTACCAAAAAGAGCCTTTCATACCACAATGCTGATATTCAAAATTTCCCAACTTATATGAGCAACTATACTTTGTGTCCTCAGTACATTGATCTGCTTTTATGGACAAGAGACTTGAACTTCAAACTTCAAACTATTTACCCTGAAAGCAATAAAATCACTGCATCCATCCTTATTTTGGGTGGCCCTTTAACTTTTTTGGTCAAGTTTTGTCTTTATAACAGGAATTTCCATGAACACTTAGTTAGATATGGAACTCAAAAAACCATCATTTTGGTCAGTTTTTTCTTCTTCATCAAATATTAGTTCTTAAACAACGGAAAGCCAATTTGGTCACTAACGCACCAGCAAATTTACAGTCATCCTTTATAATTCTGCAAAATAAAAGCAAAAAAGAAACCATTTTTTCTGCTAAAGTTCCATATCCATGCATGCCATTTCTCTATAGAAAAGCACAAGATCCATAAAATGAAAATAACCCACTTGCCAGATTGTACAAAAAAGTCAAAACAAGAAACCATTCTGCAGAAAAACTAAGAATTAAAATATGGGTCATCCTTTATTTTCCCATTAGGGAGCTGTAAGTACCTCTGCATTTCTGTCAGC